TATGTAACTCATTGTACAGTATGAGCTGCTACAGCAAAGAGACCCCAAAAGACAGTAGTTGACCCTGGATAGAAGTTACGACTTGCTCACGTAACAATCTAGAGGTGGTGATTGATTCAGGGCTGTAAACTGATTCTGCTTTCCTTAAATCATGGCTTCCATCTCTGGGCCCAAAGTAACTTCTCTGGCTCCACCACTGCATCTAGATCCCAGGCTACAGGAAAGGGCATAAGGCTCCAAAGAGCACACAGCCCTTCCTTTTAAGGGCACACTGTGGATGTGGTGGTCATCACTCCCATTTAGATCCCATTGGCCAAAACTATGACACATGCTACAGCTGGCAGCAAGGGTGTCCGGACACATGGATTTAGGTGGATTACCATGTGTTGCATTTTTAAAGGAGGAAGGAGAGAGTGAATTCTGGTGGACAAGCAGCAACACATTACTTGCATCATCCCCATGAAGGAAGGTTGTCATCTCCATCTTATTGATGAGAAACACTGAGGCTAATAGAGTTTAAGAAACTTGCCCAATATCACACAGCTACTGAAAAGCTAAGCTGGGATTCAGTACGTGGTGCTCTGAGCTATTAGTCTTAACCAGTTCCCTGGGGGCAGGGACCCCGTGGGCAGAACCAAGAGACTTAAAACCGTCCAAAGGAAAATGGATGAGAAGAGGAAGGAAGATTAAAGTGAAGAAATTCCCGGATTTCTATCCCAGGTGAACTGACGGGAGACTTGAGAGAAAAATAAAGTCTGAACCAATTTCTAGATCCTGTGTATTCATGATTATTTAATGTTAAAACTTTCTGGGAATGGAACGTTCCATTATTCCCTTCAGCCACTGGGCATGACTAAAGAGACAGATATTTTGGGTAACCTGTGTTTTCCAGAACACTTTTCTCTTTGCCTTCCATTTTGTAATATATAATATAAGAGAAAATATCATTATATAATGTTATTATATTATGGTCGATGTGTAATATAATATATATTATGTAATAAATATATATCATATATAACAAATATATATGATGTAATAAATATGTAATATGTAATAAATTATAATAAACACTAAATAAATGTATAACATTATTATATATCATTTATATATATATTCTCTCCCTACAACGACTGCCTGCTCCGTTGGTGAGAGGGTTCCGTGGTGTGGATGGACCACAGTTTAACATTTACCTATTGAGGGGAATTCCGTTTTTTCCAATTTTTGAGTATTACAAATAAAGCTGATTGTAGGATGTTTGATTTCAATTCCTATTTTAAGGGTCATATTAAGCACATTAACATTTTTGTGGGCTGCCTCCATTTTTTTTTTTAAGTTCGGGGAATTAGGTGATATATAAATTACTAACAACTCCTTTAGTAATGTTTTAGTGGTTTCTGTGGACTTCTAATTTTTTCCGGTTGTCAGGACTGATGGGTTTTCATTTCTCTGGGGAGGCGGATGGGAATGTGGGCTCCGCCCTCGCTGTTGGGCGTCACCTCATGCAGGGGTGGGGCCAGGTGTGACGGGCACGTCCTCAGGGTGGTTGGGGGCCTGGGTGGTGTTGCCTTTCGATCAAGGAGAAGGAAGCAAGGATTCGGAGCTTCGTCCCAGGTGCCTGGGGCTCCATCGCGAAGGCTGTGTGAGCCCTCAGAAGCACAGGTCCCTTCACGCCCACTGCACCGGGGTCTGGAGAGCTGGGTGCCAGTGTAGCGCTGGACCGCTCGCCGAGAGCGGGAAGGCCCCTGCCTGTCTCCGTGTCTGAGGTCGCTAAACGGAGGACCTGGCACCGACGATCTCTTCCCTCCTTGACATTTGTGGATCCTAGGCTTTCTCTGAACATGAACATGAGGATTACTGAGGATATGAAGGTCTGATAAGTTTACTGTTTCCCTAAGTGTGAAGCACTGAAGAGTAGCGTTTTCTGCACGTGGCGTTAAAGGGACCTTCGAATTACACAGGCAGAACTTTATTCCATCTCCCAATTCTCTTTCAAGGCTACTGCTTACTTCAAGGAAAAATTTCATTTTGGTGCTAGTGTATCTTTAAAATACATATATTTATTTACATACTGTGTGTATAATATCTGTATAATTTTATTTTTCAAGTATTATACGGGAAAATGGTTTTTTTTAGTGTACAGTTCAATGAATTTTAACACATGCCACCACCACCATAATCTGGAGTTAGAATGGCTCCAGGACCCAAAAAACCCCCTTTATCCTTCCCTAACCCCCGACAGCCACTGATGTCCCCTCACTATGGTTTTGTCCTTTGGAAAACATCAGATCCAATGGAATCATATACTATGTAACCTTGTGAGATGGGGTTCTTCTGCTCAGCATAATCTTTTTTTCAGCTTGTGGGTAGAGAAGACTTTTTTCCAGTTTTATTGAGATATAATTGACATGTAACACTGTATAAGTTTAAGGCATTCAACATAATGATTCAATATGCATATATACCACAATAACTCTAGTTAGCATCCATCGCCTCACATAGTTATAATTTTCTTCTTGTGATGAGAACTTTTAAGATCTACTCTCTTAGCCACTTTCAAATAGACAATACAGTCTTGTAACTGCAGTCTCCACGGTGTACGTTACAGCCCCAGAGTAAATAACTGGAAGTTTGTCCCTTTTGGCCACCTCCACCCATTTCCCCTCCAGCAGCTGCCTCCTCCCAGCCTTGCCCAGCCTCTGGCAACCACCAATCTGTTCTCTGAGCAGTTGTTTTTAAAGCCTCTTTTAAAAAAAATTTATTTATTTTAATTTTTTTCCTGAGGAAGATTCACCCTGAGCTGACATGTGCGAATCTTCCTCTGTTTTGTATGTGGGTCACTCCCACAGTGTGGTGCCTGGGAACCCATTGGGACTGCAGAAGCAGAGTGGACGAACTCAACCACTAGGCCACCGGGCTGGTCCCCTGAGCGCAGCTACTTTGACATTCATGCAAGTTGTTGCATGTTTCAATAGTTTGTCCTATTTATCTCTGAGTAGTGTTCCATGGTATGGATGGGCCACAGTCTGTTTCACCATTCACCTATTGAGAAACACTTTGATTTTCCCGTTTTTGGCTATCACAAATAAAGTCCCTATGAACAACTGTGTGCAGGTTTTATGTGACTTCCCTTGTCCAAAATCCACTCTGGCTTCCCAACTCACTTAGAATAAAATCAGCGGTAAGCGCAGGTGGGGCTCTGGGTGGGCCCCAAAGGCCTCGCACTGCGATAGGCTTGAGGAAGCCACGTGGGTGAAGCTCAGTACCCATGCTCCGGGTGCTCCCAGGCTGGGAGCCCGGGCAGCACCGCCTGAGTTCACAATCTGCCTCTATCACTTACAAGCTGTGTGACCTTGGGAAAGTTCCTGAACCTCTCCGTGCTTCAGTTTCCTCATCCGTCAAATGGGATAATGATAACCACGAGCCTTACAGGGCTGTTGTGAGGATTAAATGAATTAATATATCAAAAGTGCATGGAACAGCCCCTTGCAGACAGTAAGTGCTTGACAAAAACTCACGATCACTATTTCATTCCTGGCTCTGGGAGTTTAATGGGCATGGGATGCCCTTCTAGGAGGTTTGCGTTTTATTCTCTTAATTATAGGCAGGGAGAGTGAGGTTGAACCAGTAGGTGAGAGTCACGAGGCAGCGGGCCCGGCTTGGAGACTATCGGAATAATCCAGCACAGCCCGCCCAGAGCGGCGGCGAAGAGCCTGTTCGGAGGCGGTAAAGAGGCAATAGGAGGAGGGCTCATAGAGTCAGCAAGGATAACCCATCGGAGGAATTTGCTAAAAAGAGGAGTAAAGGGACAGAGACAAGCGGAGATGAGGTTTCTTTTTTTAATGGGCGAAATTAAGACCCAGGAGTGATTCAACAGAAGATAAAATTAATGGTGGGCTGGAATCCTCAGAGGGAAATCCCAGCAGCTGACTGGGATGGGATGGGATGGGAGCCAAAGTTACAATGGCAGAGTCTGTCTTGGACAGACGCACGGCGCTTGGTAGCCGTATTACTCCCCTTCACTGATGGAGAGATCATTTCCCAGAGGCCGGATGGCCGGAGGGCTGGGGAGCGCGCGCTGGAACCAGGACCCAGCCTGCTTCGAGGCGTCTATCCCTCCGCGTTCGCAGCGGAGAAACCCCGAGACAGCCGGGAGGGGGCGCGGGTCTAGCGGGGAGGCAGGGCTACGGCCGAGGGGCCGGGCCTCTGCCTCGGCCGGGTCGCGGCGGGGTGGGAGGCGGGGCCGGGGCTCGTTGGGATGAGTGCCCGGATGGTGGCCTCCAGGGAGCGGGTCCGTGGCCGTCCGCGCCGGCCAACGTGGGGGTGGGGGGGCGCTCACGGTACGGCTGGTGTGGAACGCGGGCCGCGCCTGAAGGCCCGAACCTGCAAGCCTGCGGTGCGCCAGCAGAAGGCCGCGCAAGGCCGGCTCCCGAGCATCGGGCTCCGGGAAGACGCGGAGGGGCCTGACCCCTGGCAAGGCCGCGGGAGAGGGCCTGCAGTGCCAGCCAATGAAAGGCGAGGGGAGGCGGGGCCTGGCGCGGGCGGCCAGCGGGCACCGGCGCTGGAGGAGTCGCCGCGGCCGCAGCGCGGTGGTCGTGTGCTTGCGCATCTGGACGGCCGGGGCACCGCCCACCGCGGGTGGGAGGGGCGTGGCCGTGTGCCGGGCAAGTGACGCGAGGAGCTCGGCGTTCCTGAGTCGCCCTGCAGTGCGTGCAAGGTGAGAGGGTCTTGGGGATCGGAGGACCCTCCGGGTGTGCTGTGACCTCGACTCGCGGCCTGGGGTTGGGGGTCGGGCTTGGGCGCGGACGCTCGCTGGGGCAGGGGTCTGGCCGTGACGTCCGGATCCTGGCACTGCCTTTTCCCTCCTAGGCCGCCTCATGGAGGCCTCCGCGGGCGCCTTCTCCTCCGTCCTGCTGCTGGCCTTCGGCGCGCTCGTGATCGCCGTGCTGGGCGCGGCGCAGCGCCTGGGGCTCTTGTCTCGGCTGGTGCACACGGTGAGGCGCGCCCGTTCTGCCGGCGAGGAAAGTGGGACTAACCCAAGGCGCCCGAGAGGAACGGTCTGCTCACGGTCCTGTCCCCATTGCCCCGGGGCCTGCACTTTGCCACCACCAAGACATAATCCGGAAGCTGCGCTAGCTGGGCACGAACGCCCGCGCACACTCCTTCCCCGGGGCCCTTTCTACAGGCTCTCGAAACCCGGTGGGGTCAGAGCGCGTGAAAGGCAGGCGCGGGACGGGCGGCCGTGCAGGGACAGTTTTCATGTATCGCTCAATGCGTGCCTGAATAGGTGCTCTTGTTTCCTTTTCCACGAGAGGAAACAGGCTCAAGAGGTTGAGCGGTAGCTTACCGTAGGTTTGGGGAAGATCTGACCCCACGGGTGTCGCTCTGAACTACTTGGTCCTGTCTCAGAAATTTACCGCTTCCCCAGACCCTCTCCCGAGTCTTTCGTCTCCGAGCCTGGAGCAGCCCTTCCTCTCCTATCCAGAAGTAAGGCCACTAGCCTTGGGGACTTAGGGAGATCGACGCCAAAGGCCTCTGCTGTGTGGGGCTGTGTAGAAGCTGGGGCTGGGAGGCCCAGCACTTCCTGTGCCAGCAGGCCGGCTCCATGCCAGGCACCTGGTGGCTGGCAGCTTGTCAGCTGGACCTTGCCCAGGGCCTGGGAGGGAGTCTGGTAGGCTGCAGTCAGCGGTGAGGCTACCGGCCCTGACACTGCAGGGGATGTAGTTCTGGAGTCCCAACAGATGGTCCCTGCCCCGTGCCCTTGGCCAAACTCCCCTGGGTTCTGTAGATCCACCTTCCCTCCCCTCTCTCCTTGATTGTCCTCCCTTCCCGGAGCTGGAACAGAGTGGGGCGCTTAAGAGCGTGGATTCTATGGGACTTTGAATCTTGCTTGGTCTCCTTAGCTGTAAGAAGATTAATGACAAGAGGATCTGATAAGAGGACCTGTATATAGCACGATATGTGCCTAACCAACACCGAGGTTCCTGTGACCTCTGACGTGCTCCGCCCTCCTTCCTGGGGGAGGAGGATTGCCTCTCCTCACCTGGCCCAGCTCCTTGACCATCTTGTTCCTCCCCCTGCTTGGGTTCAGGTGGACACGGCAAGCATCCAGCATGGTGGGGAGAGTGTGGCGGCCGTGCTGAGGGCCCACGGTGTAAGGTTCCTCTTCACGCTGGTTGGTGGGCACATTTCCCCACTGCTGGTGGCCTGTGAGAAGCTGGGCATCCGTGTGGTGGACACGCGCCACGAAGTCACGGCCGTCTTTGCTGCCGATGCTGTGGCCCGCCTGACTGGTGAGGGCAGAGTAGAGAGGGCTGGGGGCTGCTGAGACTGGGATGGGGGTGTCTTTGAGGGGCAGGGGTTTTTCAGAAGTGGTCAAGAGAGTGGGCGCGGCTGTGACGAGGTCTGTGTTCCAGGGACGCTGGGTGTGGCGGCGGTGACGGCAGGCCCTGGCCTCACCAACACGGTGACTGCGGTGAAGAATGCCCAGATAGCTCAGTCCCCAGTCCTGCTTCTGGGGGGCGCTGCCGGCACCCTGCTGCAGGTGCCCTGTCCTTGGGGGGCGGTGGGGGCCCCAGGGAGGCTCAAAGGGCCTCACGTCTTGACTCCCCGGACTCCTGTCTCCACTAGAACCGGGGTGCCCTCCAAGCCATTGATCAGATGTCCCTGTTCCGGCCACTCTGCAAGTTCTGTGCTTCCGTGCAGAGGGTGCGGGACATCGTGCCCACCCTGAGGGCTGCGGCGGCTGCTGCTCAGTCAGGCACCCCGGGTAGGTGGGGTTGGCTGGGCAGCGGTCAGGCCTTAGGGCCTGGGGTCTAGGGAGGCTTGGCAAGCTCAGCGTCCTTCCTGCCCCTGCAGGCCCAGTATTTGTGGAGCTACCCATTGACGTGCTGTACCCCTACTTCATCGTCCGGAAGGAGGTGGTGCCAGCCATGCCACCCAAGGGCCTCATGGGTCGAGTGGTTTCCTGGTGAGTAGCCCCATGCCTGCCGTGCCCTCCCCCATGCTCTGCCCTCCCCTGTAACCTCCTGCCAGCATCTCTCATTCACTCATTCATTGATTTGCACATAATTTGAGAGGGGCCAGCCGCAGGTAGAGCATTCCAGGTAGAGGGAATAGCATATGCAGAGGTCCTGAGGCACGGACAGACTTGATGGGTTGGGAACAAAGGTGGCTCCTGTGGCAGCAGGTGAGCAAAGGGGTAAGGGGCAGGGCTGAGCTCAGAGCTGCCAGCAGGGGCCCCGGGGATGGCCTGGGCTTTTTTGTTTAATCTGAGATCCACTGAGAAGTACTGCAGGGCCTTGAGCAGAGGTGGGGGGCCCTGACTCAGTTTGTTATTACGTTCCCTCTGGCTGCTGCTGGAGAATGGACAGTGGGGTCGGGTGGAAGCCGGGGAGCCAGGGAGGAGGTGTGGCGGTCAGCAGGATGACAGGTGATGGTGGCCTCCATCTGGGTGGTGGCTGTGGGATGCGGAGGTGTGGATGGGTCACGTATCAGTGTCTGGACCTCCATCAGGCCAGAATAAGGGGACAGTGGGTTACAGGCCGGTGACATGGGCACAGCTCACTCTGGGGCCTCTGGAGGATTTTGAGTGGTTACTGGCAGGATCTTGGAGAGAGCAGGGCAGCAGGGCTGGCGTGGGACAAGCTTGAATGTTTTCCTGGAAAAGATGCAAGTTTGAGGGGGGCATCTTTCAGTTGAGAGGATAGAAGGGGCTCCAGGTAGGGACATAGCTCCAGGAGAGGTATGCGGAAGGCATCCGTTTTTCGTCACCACTGAGGTGGCCTGGCTGAAATGGCATAGGAGGGAGACTCGCTCTCCTCCTCGTCCTTCTCCTGTCCCTTCCCTGTGCCTGTTCTCGCCCCTCCACCTTCCACTCCTCCTCCAAATATTTTAGTGGTGCTGCTCTGTGCTAGAGTCCAGGATGGGCATGAACCACACAGGCCGGTCCCTGCATGAAGCTCAGGGAGTAGAGGTTTCGCTCACCTGTCTTCTGTAACAAGCCTTTCTTAAGACAGTGAGGTATTACGCCCTTTTCATATGTTAGGTAACTGACACCCAAGGAGGCCGAATGACTTGCATCCGTCCTGTTAATGGCTCACCTGGGGCGCCTTCAGTGCATCACCTGCAGAGCTACGTGATGTCTGTGATGAGTGAAATGGAAGTCCAGAGACATGGGTTCAAATCCCAGGACTGCCGCCAACTAGCTGTGTTAACCTAAGCAATGGATTAAACCTTTCTTTCCTTTTCTTTCTTTCCAGTTTTTTTGAGATATAATTGACATGTAGCACTGTCTAAATTTAAGGTATACAGCATAATGATTTGACTTACATATATTGTGATTAAACCTTTCTTGACTTCAGCTTCCTTATCTGTAAAATGGGTGAATGTTGCCTGCTTTTCTCTTTAGACCAAGATTTTATGAAATATAAAATTAGATCATTTGGAGAGTGCAAAATGCTGAAGTGCAAAAGAATTGACCATTACTGTCTTAAATAAGAACAGGGCTGAGTCCAGTCTCATATCAGATGCAAGGCAGGGTGTCTCCCATACTTCCTCCAACATGGGTAGGGAACCAGAAATAAAGAGGGGGATTCAGGGGTCCTGCACATACAGGAAGTGGTTGGTGACCGTGTCAGGTCGGCTGAATTTTTAAGCGGATCTGTTCTGTGGCTGTGACAGTCTCTTTGCTCCCTGGCCTGTTGGTTCCGCCCCACTCCATTCCCCACCTCACCCCTCTCTCGGCTGCCCCTCCTCAGCCCCCTGCAAGGGGACTTTTGTTTCTTTTCATGTTAGGCTTCCCCACGGTTCTATCCTTGGCCTGTTATCATTGTCTGCAACCTTGACAGAAGCTTTGGCTCCTACTGCTAGACACGCCCATGTGTCTGTATCTGACTGCATTAGATGCCCCTTGAGGGCGAGGCTGAGCAGAATTTACCCTTGTCTCTCCAGGGCCCTGCACAGGGCCTCATGGAATGTTGGGCCCTGTGACCCAATGAGTAAGGAGACAGAGAAGGAGATGTCTGAAGCTGGAGAAGAGGCAAGAATACTGACGATGTTAATAACTCCCATTGACTGATGGTTTGCAAAGTGCTTTATATCCTGAATGTATAGATCACTGAACCTGAGGAGGGATAGGTTCCTTTTACATTTTACAGAGGAGGAAGCTCAGAAAGGTTAAGTCACTTCCCAAAGTCACACAGCTGGGAAGAGGCACAGCTAGGACTTGAGCCCATGCCTCTGACCTGCAGCCATGGTCCTTGATCCTGGCACTCCATGCCTGTGTCACTTGTTTCTGAGGGTCTGTGTCCAGTTGGGGTGGTCATCAGAAGCTTCTGAGGGAAGCAGGCCGCTGGAGACCTGGCCATGGGCTTCGTCTGCCCCTGGGTGGTTGCTCATCTAGCCCTGCGCCTGTCCTGCTCCCCTACCTGCCTCTTTCCTGGTCCCTGTCCTCCTTCAGCTCCTAGAGCCCTGGGGATTCCTCCTGGTAACCGCCCCTTCCTCTCTCCTTTGCAGGTATTTAGAGAATCACCTGGCCAACCTCTTTGCAGGAGCCTGGGAGCCTCAGCCCGAGGGGCCTCTGCCTCTGGACATCCCCCAGGCATCCGCCCAGCAGGTGACTGTCTCTCCTCCCTGGCCAGGCACCCCCACCTGGCAGGATGGCCTCTCCCTGAGTCAGTACTGGGGCTGTAGTCTTAGGGGGCTGATGGTGACTCAGGGTTGGCCCTTTGAGCCCCATCTCTCGCCCTAGGTTCAGCGCTGTGTGGAGATCTTGAGTCGGGCCAAAAGGCCCCTTATTTTGCTGGGGAGCCAGGCCCTGCTGCCCCCGATACCTGCCGACAAGCTTCGGTGAGAAGCCTCAGCCTGCCCTTCTTATCATGTTCCTGGTCCCTGGTCCCCTGAGGCCCTGTGGGGACGTGCAGGCCTTTGGCCACACTTGCTTCTGTTCTTCCTGGACCCCCAGGGCTGCCGTGGAGACCCTGGGTGTCCCCTGCTTTCTTGGGGGGATGGCACGGGGGCTGCTGGGCCGCAACCACCCCCTCCACATCCGGCAGAACCGCAGCGCCGCCCTGAAGAAGGCAGACGTCGTCCTGCTGGCAGGTAGGCCTCAGCCTACCCTGCACCCCGCCCCCCTCCAGACACCCCTCACTCTGTGACCCTGCCTCTTCTAGTCAGTTACTCGCTGGCACTCCACCCTCATAATCACCCACCCTCTTACCTCTGGCCCCACATTCCCCTGTGAAGGGTTTTGAACACCCTGGACCTGAAATTCAGATGAACTCTCGCCAGGCTGCAGTTGTGTGCTGTGATCTGGCTCTACACAGAGGAGGGTGCACAGACAGCAGGCAGCTGCTGAGCTCATGTACAGCATTTCAACAGCGTGTCCACAGACAGCATTAACAGTTTCACATCAAGTGCTTTCAATCATTAGCTCTTGCTGTGTAATAACCATCCCCAAACTCAATGGCTTAAAATGCAATTATTATTTCTCAAGACCCACCTACAGGTTAGGTGGTAGTTCTTCTGGTTTTCACTGGGCTCGCTCCTCAGTCTGCAGTTGGGGAGGCTGGAAGGCAGCCATGCTGATCCAGGCTGGGCCGGCTCACACGCCTGGGGTTGGCCTCAGCTGCCATCACCGAGTTCTCCCCTCCACCCTCCTTCCTCAGTGTTTCACATCATCCAGCAGGCTGGCCTGGGCTTGTTCACTTGGTGGAGGACGAGAAACATGCAGGGCTCGGGGAGTGTGGTTATTTAAGAGACAGAGAGTGGAAGCTGCGAGGCTTCCTGAAGCCTGGTCTCCTGAAGGTTGTGCCATCACTTCTGCCACATTCTGTTTGCCAAAGCACATCCGAGGCCAGTCCAGATGCGCAGGGTGGGGAGCTGCAAAGTCTGCAGACGGTGCGAGTACAGGGAGAGGTCAAGAGCAGGCACCTCTTGGCATTGTCTACCACGGTGGGTTAAGTGAGGTAGCGGGTGCTCCCCAGGACGCTGGCCCTCCATCCACTGAGACCCTGTCCCCACCCCAGGAATCATCTGTGATTTCCGCCTCTCCTATGGCCGTGTCCTCAGCCGCAGCAGCAAGATCATCATTGTCAACCGTAACCGGAAAGACATGTTGATCAACTCAGACATCTTCTGGAAGCCCCAGGAGGCTGTGCAGGGTGAGCCCCCAGACGCCCCCACACATCCGTGCTCTTCCTCGTCCCTCTCTTCCTGGCCTCTCCTGCAGCTGGCTTGAGCTGGGTGCTGGTGATAAGGCCCGGACCCTGCCCCAGGGGCACCCAGTCAGCCAGAGACATGGATGAACAAATGGGGTGTGTGTCAGAGGGAAGGCCTTGGACTGTGCGTGTGATCCTGTCCCCTGCCTCCCATGCTGCCCACTGCCCTTAGGACACAGAGCTCACTTCTTGGCTGCTGAGGCCTCTCTTTTCTGTCATGCCCCTCCACCCTGTTCAGTCCCCTGTGACAGCCTTTCCATGCTGCTTTGCCTCTCATTCCAAGGATGCTAATTCCACGCTGCAGTGCAGCGACAGGGGACGCTCGTGTCAAACAGAGAGGTGGCACTGTTGCATTTGTAACAGCTGGTGGGCACTGAGTTGGAGGAGCCAGGCAGAGGCAAGGGGCTGTTAAACAGGCCTGGATAGAAATGAGGAGGCCTGGAGTGGGATGGCTGGGGACAAGAAACTCTACTTCTCTGAGCCTCTGCGTGGTCATTTCTCAAATGGGAATGGCAAGAAGGATGCCACTGGCTCGTCTGCTTGTTCACTCATACACGTGCTTGGCAGAGGCAGGGGTTTTCAGTGACGTGGTTCAGAGGCAGAATTTGCAGGATGGCGTGATCTGGGATGTGAGGGGCAGGCAGGTGACGAGGCTGGCTTGGGTTTCTAACCTTTGTGCTTCCTAAACCTCTTTCTCTGGCTTTGCTTTCCCTTTCACCGCTGGTTCTGGCAGGCTCTGGGGTGTGTTTGACCCATTTTGCCCCAGGAACACCCCTGGCCTGCCTCCTGGCCGCCTGCTCGAATGCCGCTGTCAGCTTCCTGCTGTCCTTGGGCCTCTGCTGCTGGCAGGGCAGGAGGCGGCCCCCTCCCTGCAGCCACACCCTCCTCTTTCTCCAGGAGATGTGGGCTCCTTCATGGTGAAGCTGGTGGAAGGCCTTGAGGGCCAGACGTGGGCCTCTGACTGGGCAGAGGAGCTTCGGGAAGCCGACCGGCAGAAGGAACAGACCTTTCGGTGGGGGCTGGCTGGAGTGGACGGGGGGGTGGGGTTGTGGGTTCCCGGCAGGCTCTGCCGCGGGCCCTGCTGACCTGTGCCGCTGCGCTGCAGGGAGAAGGCGTTGATGCCTGCAGCCCAGCACCTGAACCCGGTACGGGTGTTGCAGCTGGTGGAGGAAACTCTGCCTGACAACTCAATTCTGGTGGTCGACGGTGGGGACTTCGTGGGCACTGCTGCCCACCTGGTGCAGCCCCGTGGCCCCCTGCGCTGGCTCGATCCTGGTAAGGAAGGTCTTGTGCCTGGGGCAGCTTGCACTGTCCTGGCCCCTTCACACCCACCTGCTCTTGGTTCTCCTAGGGGCCTTCGGGACGCTGGGGGTTGGTGCAGGATTTGCACTTGGAGCCAAACTGTGCCGGCCAGATGCCGAGGTGAGTCAGGGTGCGGACGGCAGGGGGCTTGCTGCTTTCTGGGCTGTGAACCACCCCAGCCATCCTCGATCCCGCCCCAGGTCTGGTGCCTCTTTGGGGATGGAGCATTTGGCTACAGCCTCATCGAATTTGACACCTTCGTCAGACACAAGGTGACTGGGCTGCCCCAGGGGAAGCTCAGAGCTTGGGGTTCTGGGAGATGTCATCAGGGGTGGGGGGGGGCTGGGGAGGGAGCTGCTTCTGTCTGGCAGAGATCCTGGCCCTGTTTTTGTCCTCTGGCCAAGCCTTGGGACTGAAGGCTGTGGCATGTGCTCTCCCTGCAGATCCCAGTGATGGCCTTGATAGGGAATGATGCTGGTTGGACCCAGATTTCACGGGAGCAAGTGCCCTGTCTGGGCAGCAATGTGGCCTGTGGCTTGGCTTACACTGGTGAGTGGCCTGGGCAGGGTAGGGACGGGGGAAGCTGTTTCAGTCTGTGCTGGGCGTGTGTTTCTCTCTTGGACTGGCTGCATGGTGGGCTGGGCCCCTGCCACCATCTGACTTGACCTCCCCTTTTAGATTATCACAAGGCAGCCATGGGACTAGGGGCCCAGGGCTTGCTGCTCTCACGGCAGAATGAGGATCAGGTGGTCAAGGTGCTGCGTGATGCCCAGCAGCAGTGCCGAGATGGCCACCCAGTTGTGGTCAACATCCTCATCGGGAGGACGGACTTCCGAGACGGCTCCATTGCTGTGTAGGGCCTTGTGGGTCAGTACCCTTGGCTCCCTTCCCACCCTGGGACTGTGCCTAGCTGGTTTGGAGTCTCATCTTTGCCTGCCCTAGGCCTATTCCATGAGGCCCAGTGATGCTACAACCCTCTCTGAGGACAGCGAGGGGCTGGAGGGGTCAGAGCTAAAAGAGGCTCCCTGACAGCACAGGACAGCTCTTGGGCCTTTTTCTCTGTGGGCCCAACTCTGCACCTTTTCTCTCCCTCTCTTATGCACTGAATAAACCACCTTTGATCCACTTGGGCCCAAGTACTCATCCAGAACCTGTGCATATTGATTTATTGTCCACAAGATGGAAGTGAGGGAAAGAGGGGAGACAGGAGGGGACCCTACTCTCCCAATGGAACTCTGAGTGGCCACAACTGAGGCACCATTACTGGGGATTTCAGGGTGCCTGGACACTGAACTTTTTGCCCACCTCTGTGGTCCCTGAAAGAGCCCCATACACCTGCTCCAGACATGTCCATGCATACTAATCCTCACACAGACACACACGCACGGAGGAAATAAATATGTTCCGTACCAAAATGCCCCCAGCCTGACACTTCAAGTGGGGCCCCTCCAAAAGGGAGGTCTTATAAGTGCTCAATTTCTTCAGAAATGGGGAGCAAGAATAGGGGAGGGGAAGGGCCAGACTCTGCTATCTCCATTTGCTGGTTTGAGGCAATCATGGGGTTTTCCCTGGAAAAGAGGGTGGGGGAACCACCTGTTTTTCTATAACCCCAGGCTGCCCTTGTCCAGCTGGAGCCCAGGACAGGGGCTTCCCCCAACTCTGCCCCAAATGGCACCTCCTGATAGTCCTTGGGCTCTTAGAGGCAGGGAGAAGCAGAGTGCAATGCTCAAAGCTAATACTGATTTGGTTGGCAGCAGCAAGAGGACTGACTGGGGGGGTGTCTTACCATCCCAGGGTGATGCTCACAGTAACTGGTGTTTCCCCGGCCAAGGGGAGGCAAGAGGCCAGCCCAGCAAGCGGGAGAACTGCCTTGTGGCAGTCCGGGGGAGAAGCCCTTGGTACTCAGAAAAGACGGCCACAACAGCTGGTCCCGGAAATCCCCAGTCTCCGGCCTCCGCAACCAGCGTCCAAGTACTGAGCGCTGGAGAGAGGAGTGATGCTCAGCCGGGGGCTGGTTGGTCGCTAGGCAACGCCGGCAGCCAGAGCCCGGCCCCGAGCAGCAGGTGCGCTCCCCGCCGTTGTCGGGGCGCCCGACCGCCCGCTCAGAGGCACACGTTGATCTGCTTGGAGAGCTCTCGCTCCAGGTCCAGGATGAGTGCGTCAAAGTCTTTGAGGTTCAGGTGCGCGTTGAAAGGCGCCTCAAAGTCGTCCTCGAAGTCGGCGGGGCCCGCCCGCTCGCCGGCCTCCTCGTCCTCCTCCTCGCTGTCGCTCCCCGTCACCTGGTCGTAGTCCGGCCCGGACAGGAAGTCCCGCCCACAGGGCAGGAAGTCCCGCCCGCAAACGCTCCAGTCGCCGGCGTAGCGGTTGCTCGGAGGGCTCTCGGGGCCGCCTCGGCCGCGGGGCCGAGTCACTACTTCGGGGCCCGCCAAGGGCAAGTTCAGCGGCGGCTGGCGTTTGGGCCGCAGGTACGGGGCGAGGTCCGGAGCGTCTGGGGTCCTGCGGGGATCTACGGGAGGAGAGGGAGCATTCGTGATGGCGTCACGCACAGCGGCGGCAACCAGGCCTCTGATTGGCTGCTTAGGCAGCCAGGTCCCTGATTGGTCTGCCGAAAGGCAAGGCCTTCGACCGGATCAGGGTTTCACTGGCTGAGCTAGAACCGGTTGCCTAGGCAACCGGCCGTCTAATTGGCAGGTAAGAGGGAGGGCCTCTGACCGCGTCAAGCGTGGACTGGTGGAATCTGAAATAGTTGCTGAGGCAACCAGGTACCGGTTTACTCAGGCGAGGGGACGTGGCCGTCCTGAAGTCCGAGACTCTAATTGGCCGCCCGAGAAAGCGTCGCCGCGGCGGCCTGGCCCGGATTGGCCGCGCGGGCCGGGGGCGGGCTCACCTGGCCAGGCCTGCAGCAGGTAGTGCAGCACCTCGATGTGGCGCTTGAAGTCCACCGCGTTGGTGAGGCCCGGGCCGGAGCTGCGGATGCGGGGCCTGGCGGGTGCCTGGCGAGCCGGCAGCAGCACGGGACCGAAGCACACGGCCAGGTTCTGCGGGGTCATGCGGTTGTGGGCGTGGAAGGAGGAGACAAGGCGCAGGTGGTCCAGGAGAAGCGTCAGCGTGGCCTGAGAGGAGAGGGTTGGGCGGGCATGAGGGGAGCAAAACCGGTCCCCTCTCGCATCTGAGGGAGACTAAGGCGGCTCCGAATGGGGGAACTGAGGTTCAAGGTCTCATAGCTGGGAGATGACTGAGCAAAGACTTAACCATTAGGTATTGGTATTAGGATCCCATTTTGCTGGAAGGGAGACTGAGGCCAAAGGTAACTTAGCTTTGGAATGGCAGAGTGTGGACTTGAACCCACTCTTTTGTGTGTTAGGCAGATTCTGTGTGTTTAGGCTCATTTTATAGATGAGGATATTGAGGCACAGAGAGGGTCTGGGTTTGTCCAGGACCCCACAGCCAGGAACCTCCTTTGTAGTAGGTTGACAGACCTGTGTTCAGAATCTGTGTTTTTGATACATCCTGTCTGTGCAATCTTGGGTAGCTCACTCAACTGCTCTGGGCCTTGGTTTCCATATCTGTGAAGTGGGGATACTAACAGAACCTACTTTTTTAGGGTTGTGATGATGCAACAAGCTCACAGCTATCACCAGACCAGGCATGGGTGAAGTGCTCTACTGATGTCAGCCCATTCCCTGTCCCACCCGCTCCTGCCGGGCCCAACTCACCCTTTCCACATCTGGCAGGCAGCTGAGGAGCCCACGGGTGCCCTCAGTGCTGGGGGGAGTCCTGCTTGGAGGCCCCTGGGCCATGGCCTCCAGCACCACCTGATAGAGGGGCTGGGTGATGAGTGGGGTGGGCAGCTCCCGAAGATAATCCTTGAGGATGCCTGCAGACACAGGGCCCACTCTGGTCAGGGCACCCCTGGCTTTCGAGGCTGGAGGGGTCAGCTGGGGCTGGGATGGGGGAAGAGGAGGAGGACAGGTGCCGGAAAGTGAAAAGACAGAAGGGGTGAGGTCCCAGAGGGACCACAGGGACTGCTTTGAAGTGAGGGTTAGGTGGGGAGCAGGCAGGGGAGAGAAGGGGCATGCTGACCAGTGATAACATTGATATCGGGGTACAGGTCCTCAGAGAGGCAGACAGCTGCACTGTCCCGCTCAAAGGCATCCCGCAATTCTTTCTTCATGGCTGCCGAGCCGCACAGACGGTACAGCCCCACTACCTGGGGGTGGGAGCACAGACGGGATATCTTCTTGGCAGGGCCACACACTGATCAGGGCCCAGGGGGGTGGGAGCTGGAGGTCTGGGCCAGGGTGGCAGGGGGCTGATAGGTTGGGGGCTGGCTGTAGCCTCACTGGCTGCCTTCTGGCTCCTCTGACACCCCTTCACCCCATCCCAGCTGGCCCCCAGACCTCAGACCCACTCCCCAGGACACCCAGTGTACAGAGGCCAGACCTTCCTTCCCACCCCACTTGGGATATTCCTAGCTCCTATCTCAGTCCAGACAAAGGCAGGAGGCTCCCCCCAGATCATAGCACCCAGCCCAGAACCCATGGGTCATCCATCCATTTAGTAACACAGGATCCCAGCCCTTCTGAAGCTCGGAGTCTGATGGGGGAAAGACAGGACTCCAATAACTCACAAACCTAAAACTGTGGCTGGGATAAGAGGGAAGAAGCTGGGAGAACTTAAAGCAGGACCTGACCTACTCATTGGGGTAGTCAGGGAAGGCTTCCTGGAGGAGGTGACAAGTGAGCTGAGGAGGAGTCAGAGTTTCCTGAGTCCAAAGAGGTAGGTGCCTGAACAAGTGATCCACGAGGGGCTCACCCGCAGTCCTCGGCGTTCAATCTGCCCAACACACTTCTGGATGATGAGGGGCACTTGGCCTGGGGGCTGCTCCCGCTCCACCAGCAGCGGCAGGGGCAGCCCGAAGACACGAGGCTCAGCTGTGCCCGGTGCTTCCTGCTGCTCTGACAGGGTCAGCTTGGCATACAGCAGCCCCTGGGGCTCCAGGCGCACAGCCAGCTGCTGGGCTTGGCATCCTGACGACACAAGGGGACCTGAGTGGGATCTGTCCCCTAAGCTCCTGGGTCCTGGGCCCCTACTCCAAGCCACACCACCACCCTGGCTTAGTCCCCTGGGGCGCTCTGGGGACAAGGGCAGCCGTGAGCTGAGTCCCATGCCCTACGGTTTCTCCCCTGTAGTTGCGCGCGCATCCTACCTCGGAAGACCGTGGGCAGCAGCACAGTGCCCTGGGCGCAGGGCCGGTGCCGCCGTACGCCGGGGTCCCACGCCAGCACCAGGGCCCGCAGCAGCCGGGCAGCCTCGAGTTCCAGGTGGAAGGTGTGGTCCAGCCGCAGGAAGTCCGGCCCCGCGCGCAGGGGCCCTGTTCGGGCCCGGGCCACCCCATCCACCTGCAGCAGGCAGCAGAGGTCTCTCGGGGTGGCCCCGGGCGCCGGCCGCAGCCCCCCCAGCCCGTACAGGTGCAGGCTGAGGCGGCCCCAGAGCGCGGCCGGGGGCCCCCGGGCCAAGGGGCCCACCTCATAGGGACGGAAGGCAGTGGGCGACGGGGGCCCCACTGGGCGCTCCGGTGAGTCGCCATCACTGAGGTAACCAGCCCGTGGGCCCCGCAGGCCCCCGGCCACCGCCGCGCGCCCGGGGGTCCCCACGCTGCTGTCCAGGTGGTAGCGGCTGATGACGGAGCCCGCGGGGGCGGCCCTCTCGCGCTCCCGGCCGGCCCGGCTGCCCCGCAGGCTCAGGCGGCGCCGCAGCTCCGGCAGCTTCTTCATCTTCATGGAGAGGCGCCGGGCCGGGCCCGGGGACTTCGTGCGCGAGGCTTTGGTGGGGGGGCTGGCGGGGGCTGCGCCTGTGGGAACGGCAGACCTCAGGGTCCAGAAGCCTGCAACTGGGACGGGGGTGATGCCGCGGTCATCTGGGGGGCCGGGGCCTTGAGGCTTGAGCTCACCTTGGGAGGCCAGGCCCTCTGGCTCAGCCGAGCCTGGCTGTGGCCCCAGGGGCTCCGGTGCCGGGGCTCTGGGATCTTCCTCAGGGATAGGGTTGTACCAGATCTCTCCGGCGGGCTCCCCGCTGCCAGGTGCCCCGGGCCCCAAAGCAGCGTCCTCTGGTGGCTTGGCCCCGCCCAGCACCCATCGGCGGCTGCTGGGCTCCAGGCTCTGCAGGTAGGCTCCCCGCGCGGGGCTGCGAGGTGCCTCAGGGCTGGGGGGCCCCTCTGCTCCCGCCTGGGGCCCTTCAGCAGCCTGGGGCTCTGACTCTGGAGGGCTGGGCTCCGGGTGCTGGGCTGGGCGGCCTGGTAGAGCACACAGGTAATGAGACCCAGACCCTACCCTCTGGCTGCCCCCCGGAGCAGCCCCAGCCAGAGCTCTTCCCCAGCAGGGGCAGGGGCTGGGTGCTCTCAGCGCGGCCCTCACACCACTCGCTTATTTGGAAAGGGCGGCCTCAGGCCAGCAGTCTCATCGGTGGCTAGCTTAGAGCCCGCCCGATGTCAGTCCCTGGCTCCCGAATGGGACTGACCCTCTGCCATCCAGCCTCAGGGGTGCGGTGGGCCCTGCGTTCCTCTCTCTGCTTCCCCAGCCCCCTCACGCACCCTGGCGTGGAGCCCTGCCCCTGTGCCTTCTCACTGGGTGGCTTTGGGCAACTCGCTTCCCATCTCTGAGCTGAGTGTCCTCTCATGAAATGCAGGCTTTGATGGCCCCCTCCAGGGGAGCTTCAGGGAGTTGGGTGTGGGGGCTGCTTCCCCATCCCTGGCATCAGGGTAAAGCACACGGCCCACAGTGGACGCTGGCTTGCTTGCTTGGAAGACAGGAGCAGGCATGACAGCGAGCACCCGGTTCTCCCTTCCCTGCAGCATGTCACCCCCACCCCCTAAGCCTGTCTTCCAAACTCTGCCCCCATCCTGGAGTGGGCCCTGTCTCTCAGCCCAGGCCAGATCCTCCTGGTCAGCGCCTGGTGGCCACCCCTTTGCTCCATCCTCCCCTCTCTGACATCCGGGGCTGTTTCCTTTGTTTTTGTGCGTGGGCACCCCTGTCCCTTCTCTCTGCTCTGGGAACCTTGGGAATATTTGGGAAGGGCTGGGGGAGAGGTCAGATCCGTGGAGCCATCTGGCCTCCCTCCTTTAACTCCTTCCTTCTGGAGACTTCCTGTCCCATGCAGCTCCCATTTTTTAGGTCTTGTCTTGTTTGCCTGTTGACTCCCTCCTCTGGTCACCTCCGATTTCCACCCCCCAGTACTCTGTCTCAGCAGGTCTCTGTTAGTAGTATAGACCAAAGAGCTGTATAAGTCACTTCACTGGCTCTGGGCAAATTACTCAACTGCTCTGTGCCTCAGTTTCCCCATCTGTATAAAAGGGACACTTTCCTGGGGCTGCCTAAGGTGGAAGCAGCTACCCAGTCACTGGTTAATAGGGAGGAAGGGAATGGGGGTATCTACCATGATTGACATACCGCCTCTCTCCTTCCTCTGAAGGAGTAGCCCCTCATCTCCCATCCTGGGTCTCCAGGGCTCAGGGTGTCCTCTGCCTGGCTTGACCGGGCCCCAGTTTCCCGGCCTTCCAGCTCCTCCTCCCCTCTCTCCAGGCGCTCCGTCTCGGCCCCATTTCCTGCCAGGGGCGAGGCCCCCTCCCGGGCCTCCCAAGGAGCCCGCAGTGCTGGCATCCCAGGCCAGGCGCACATAACGGTCCGCGCCCCCTCTGCCCCCAGCCCCTTCCTTCCAGGACCCCTGCCCGCCCCCGGCCCCCCCGCCCCGGCCCGCAGGGGGCTCCGCAGGACTACCCCTATACCCCACGCCCTCCCTTCTTGGGGCCCCGGGACACCCTCCCAGGCCGGGAGGGGTTCGGTGCCCCCCGCCTCCGCCACCTCCCCGGCTCACCGCGCTCCTTCGCGTCCGACTTTTTCCGGGGAAGTTTCTCCCGGCCCCGCAGGCGGGAGAAGGTCTTCCTGAGCAGCGGCTCGGCCATGCTGGGGCCCGGGCCGGGCGAGTGCGCGCCCCGGGCTCCGGCCGCGCCGCCCCCGCCCTCCCCGCCCCGCCCGGGCCTCCGCGCCAGCCCCCCGCCCCGCGCCAGCAGGAAGAGCATTCCGGGAATACTTGGCCCAAACTTTTTTTTTTCCCCTTCCCGCGGCCTGAGCGAGTGATGCCGGGAGATGTAGTCGCCCGGGCCGGGAGGGGAGGGGAGGGGAGGGGGCTCCAGCTCTGAACATCGTGGCGCTCGCCGGGCCCTGGCTTCCCTCTTATCCACCCTCCCTTGGTGATCTGCATACAGCAAGTTCTCTTGGGTTTAACTCCAAAACGCATCCTGCACCTACGCTCTCTCTTTCCCGCGTCCTCTCCGGCCTGGTGCAGGCGCGGGCATCACTCTGTTCCATGAGCCCCCGACCCCTTCCCCCTTAGGGATGGTGGTTTAAGAAACCATTCCAAACCTTAGTGGTGTAAAACAACCATTTTATGGTGCTCACAGACGCTCTGAGTCAGGAATTTGGGCAGGGCAGAGCTGACATTGTTTCTACTCAGTTGGAAAGACTGAGGTTTAGGGGTGACTCAACAAATGGGGGGCTGGAATCATCTGGAGGCGTGTCCACTTGCAGGTCTTGTGGTTGATGCCAGCTGTGGGCTGGGTTTCGCAGGGGCTGTGGACAAGAGCCCCTGTACGGCCTCTGGGTGCAGCTTGGGCTTCCTCCCAGCAGGGCAGAAGTCAGGGTGCTGGGCTCCTTACACAGCCTCCCAGGGCTCCTTAGTGAACAAGGCAGAAGTGTGTTGCCTTCCCTGACCCAGCCTCGGGTGTCATGCCCTGTCACTTCTGGTGCTAGATTCAAGGGGAGGGACACAGACCCCACCTCTCTCAGCGGGTGGTGTGTCAAGGTGACCTTGTGCAAGAGGATGTGGAATGGGAGATACTATTGCTGCCGTCTTGGAAAACGTAACCCACCTCACTCCTGCGTTCCATTCTTTATGCAGGGCCTGGAGTAGACTAAAGCTGAAATCAGATCATTGCATGCCCCTGCTGAGCAGTCTTCCCATGACTGCTCACCCCACCTAGAATAAAATCCGAACTCCCATGAATAACATCCAGGCCTAACAAGACTTCTGACCTCATCTCCTTTGTTGTCCCCATTGCTCACGGTGGTCTCCTCTCTGGTCCTCCTTCACATCAAACTGTTACTGCTCTAGGCCCTTGGTACATGCAGTTCCTTCTGTTTGGGAAGCCCTGGTTCTTTGGAAGCTGCCTCTTTCTCATCCTTTCATTCCAACAGCGCCTCCCTGGGAGGCCTCCTTGAGCACACCGATGTCTGGTCATTGTTACATCACCGTGTTTGATTTCTTTGAACACTTGCCACAGCTTGAACTTAACAGCTCCAGTAGATTGTTCTAGTTTATCTGCTTCCTTGTCTAGACTGGGGCTCACCAGATGCCTGTCTGTCTTGTTCACTGCTGAATGGCCAGGTGCCAGGTGATGAGGCCTGGACAGGAGCAGCTGGCCAAGAGGCCTGCACAGAGGAGGTTGTGTGTGTTTGCTGTTAAAGCGTCTTCATGTAGATCTCTGTGTTTATCCTACTTTGAGTTCATTGAACTTCTTGGATGTAGATTCATTTCTTTCATCAACTCTGGGAAGTTTTTTGGCGATTATTTCTTCAACTATTCTTTCTGCCCCTTTTTTCTTCTTTCCTTCTGGGACTCCCATTACGTGTATGTTGGTATGCTTGACAGTGTCCACAAATCTCTTAGATTCTGTTCATTTTGCTTGGAAGTGTGTGTTTGGGAGGAGTCGGGCTGGAGAAGGGTGGGGTGCACCCCATTTAGATCCCCGCTGGATGTTTCTGAGGCAGCTTCTGGCAGTAGACAGAGAGGTCAGGGGCCAAGAAAACACCTCTTCACAAGTCCAAGGCAGGGAGTGCAGGACTAGGGTCCTACTGGGGTTCTCTAGAACCTCAGAGGAGCCGGAGGCTGACATAGGCGTGAGAGCGCTCCTTGGCCTCACCCATGTCACACCAAATGATTAAAAAACACTCACATGACACATCAGTATTTATTATTTTCTTGGCAAACCCTTTTGACAGGGTTTCTGTATTTTTCTTGTTGCATTTATTTGGCTACATATAGCTCATTTAATTCATAGTTTGCTATGATTCTTTCTCAGTAATCAGAAATTCTTGATAAGTGAGAACAAGTAATCTACAAACTGTATGTAATGAAATGGTTATGAATGGTAAATTTCACACTTGGTGAAGTTTGCACAATTATTCATCTGGATTTTGGTAGTTGCTCTTCAGATTTTGGAGCCTGTGTGTATGTGTATTTTCTTTCCCCAAATGTTGTCACTGGCTGCAGGCCTGATGTGCTGTGCTTATGGTGCCTGATAGATAAATCAGCCCCCAGCATATATGCGGATGTGTTGGAAGAAGAAATGCAGGTGGAGGGGGCTGGTTAGGTTTGAGCAGAGGTGCAGAGCCAACAGTGGGGGTTGGTGGATAAATAACCCAGCTCCCTCGCCCCTTGTGTGGAGTGACTGAGGGGTGTGCTCTGCACTGACCCCCTGAGATCCCCGTGGGATTGAGCTCCGGCTGCCCACAGTGGAAACTTGCACGTCAACGCGCTCTTACCAACTTCCTTCCTTTCCCTGTCTCACTTCTCCACCACCTTTGCAGCGTTTCCTGGGTCACTCCCAAATAAAACACTTGCACATGAATCCTTATCTCAGGGTTGGCTTCTGGAGGACTCCAAGCATAGACAGTCTCTCTATGCCTCAGTTTCCTCATTAATCCAAAGCAATCCCCCTGCTGTCAAGGCTGTAGGAGTGGGCCGTAATAGGGGAGGGACATGTGTCTGTGGGCTAGGTCCATTGTTTGCCACCTCCTTAGGGTCCTTAATTCCTGGGAAATGGAATATGGAAAAGGTTATGGGGAGCAGGCCCCCAGCTTCCTTTACTCCCTATTGTCATTCCCAGTTGTCCCTGCACCTGAGGCTCACCTGCATCTGGCATCTTCCAGGGTCCACTGGGGCAGCGTTGAGGAGCTGGAGGGAGTGAAGGCAGTCAAGTACTTGTGAGGCAGCTTCCTGAGACAGGATGTGGTGTCAGCTGGGAGGCAGTAAGCAGAGCAGCATATGTTGGCCAGAGCCTCCCACTGGCCCTTGGAAAAGCCCAGCCAGGCAGCTGTGGGGCTGAAGCTGAGGTGCAGCAGGGCCCCTGTCATCCTTGCAGTGCCCTCCTTTTATCAGCTGCAGGCCTGCTGGGCTCTCCTGCTGACCAGGCCCCAGGATACCTTCAGCCACTGGCCATCTGGGCGTGCCAAGCCCTGCCCTCGTGCCCAGCTTACAGGGCCTAAGGGGGCCAGCCTGGCCACCGAAGCCTCATAGATGCTGGTTGTCCCAGAGGAAGGGGAAGCAGCCTAGAGAGAGGTGGCTGGTCAGGTGGGGACAAGTGCCCTGGGGTGGGCAGGGCCAGGCAGAGACCCTAGGTCATTCCTTAGCTCCTCCTTCATGCCTCCCAGGTCTCTGAGTTCTTCTGCAGATTCCAAAGAAAGGTCTGGCCCTTGACCGGCTTCTGGGAGGTAGCCTCGAAGCCCTTGGAGTAGCCTACCTGATCAGAACCTCTGTACGCCTGGGGGCATGCCGGACAGTTTATGATGACAGTGTGATTTATGGGGAGGGCCTTGGGCCACACTCTGTCAGCCTGACCTCGGGAGGGGCTGGAGACTGAGTGACTAAGTTCAGCCACATGTGTGGTCAACCATGTCTATGTTGCTAATCTGGGCTGAATTATATCCCCCCAAATTTGCGTGTTGAAGTCCTAATCCGCTGCCTCCCAGGTACCTCAGAATGTGACTGTATTTGGAAATAGGGTCTTTAAACAGGTGATTAAATCAAAACGAAGTCATTAGGGTGGGCTCTAATCCAGTGTGACGGATGTCCTTATAAGATGGGGAAGTTTGGACACAGACCTCTGTGCCCATAGAGGGAAGACGATGTGAAGACACAGGGAGAAGACGGCATCTGCAAGCCAAGGAGAGAGGCCTCAGAGGGAGCCAAGCATGCTGACATCTTATCTCCAGATCTCCTCCAGAACTGGGGGAAAATAAATTTCTGTTGTTTAAGCCACTCAGTCTGTGGTGTTTTGTCATGGCGGCCCTGGGAAACTAATACAGTGTCTGACCTCCGATGAAAACCCTGGACACCAAGACTCGGTGAGCTGCTCTGGTTGGCAGCACACCATGTGTGTTGTCACACATCGTTGCTGGAGAATTAAGTGGTGTCCACATGACTTCACGGGAGGGACACCGGAAGCTTGCGCCTGGTCTCTTCTGGACCGTGCACCCTGTGCCTTTTGCCTCTGCTGGTTTCCGTCTGTGTCCTTTCCCTTTAATAAACCATGAGCATGGCAACTTTGCTGAGTTCTGTGAGTCCTTCTAGTCAATCGCTGAACCAGAGGGCGGTCTCAGGGACCTCCCACCACTCAGGTTCACAGAGACGGAAGCGACTCCCCAGATCCGTGGCAAATGTACATTTGAGAGTAGGAGCTCCCCGTCCAGGACGTCGGCCTCAAGCCTTCCCGAGTCCTTTGCACGCCTTGCTGGAAGCGGCTTGCCAGCCTCTCCCAGCAGCTCTCCACCTGCGGTCCCCACAGCCCCGCCTGGGGCAGGGCTTGAGCTGTTCCCAGCTGCAGCATGACCTTGGGCAAGCCACCCCCTGGGAGGACATCCAGCGTCATGGTGGAAGGAGCGGTCAGGTTTTGGGGTCACACTAGGCTGGATTGGAGTCCCCCCTCTGCCCTGCTCCAGCATGGGGCCTTAGGACAGTCACTTTCCCTCTCTGAGCCTGTGTCTGGGTCTCTAAAATTGCTTTGATTCATCCAGTAAAATCCTGTACAGAAAGAAGTGTTGCTGTGCTTTAGACCAGCTAGGGGCACTCTGCTCCTTCAGATCTGGATGAGGTGACTCAAACCCCTTCCAATGCCCTCGCCCGATTTTGGAGAATTCTTGCATGGTTATTTTTTCGTGGTCTCCTGCTATTGCTCACTTAAGGAGTGCCACTGAGCTCACAATTCCTGGTCTATGGGGCGGGGCTCCAGCTTCTGTCCTCAGTTTCCCTAAGGCTCCTGTGTGTGGGGTAGCTTTGCTGAAGGCTGAGGGAGTGGCGGGGGGCGGGGGGTGGACATCATGTACCGCAGCCACTTAACCTTGACTGTTAGACGGTTTGGTTTCAACCGAGCCAGCTCAGTTACCTCATCTGGCATCCTAGAGTCTTGCCATCACACTGCTTCCTATTCATTCATTCATTCATACATTCATTCATCCTGTCAACAAATACATTTGGAGTGGCTGATGAATTAATCATGTGGGTATGGAGTTGGGCAAGATAAACAAGAGAATGCAGTCTCAGCTCGCAGTCAAGTGGCAAAATGGACATTCATCAAAGAATCACACAAACGGGTATAAAATCCCTGGTAGGATGAGGGGAATGAGGAGGAAGAGAGTGTACTAGGGCCCCTGATGTGGCTGGCATGGTGGGGGGGGCGCTTCTCTGAGCAAGTGGGGTTTGTGTTGAAATCTCACAGCTGAAGAGACATGAGCTCTGGCAAGAGGTGGGGAGGAAGGAGTGAGTGGCACGTGCAGTGATCCTGTGGCACCATCCCCGTCCGTCTCTGCCTTTTCTGATGCTGGGATTCAGCCCGCCTCGCTTCTCATTTTTCAGTCCATTTTGGCCTCCCTGCCTTTGTCACTCCTGTTCATCTACACCAGGGTTGGCAAACTATGGACATGGGCCAACTGCGGTCCTCAAGCCACAAATGTTTTTAAATTTTTAAAACAGTTGGAAACAAATCAAAAGACTACATTTCATGAACCATATTTCATGCAACTTTTGATAACTGTGTTTGATAATTAAAAATTTCAAACCTAGTGTCCAAGAGGGCAGCCTCTGTGGTACCATAGGATTAATGTGTCCAGTAGTAGGTAGTTTGAGAAGGCCCACACTGGATGGCAGATTTTAGACAGGATTTTCTGGGTCCCAAATTAATTAGGGTTTTTCAGCAATCCTGTAGACTGGCCTTTGACGCGGAAGACGGAGCCTTCCTTCTGATGTCCTGTCTGTGGGTGACGGTGGAGGTATTTGGGGACCCCGGTGGCCAGGTAGCCAAATTAGAAGAGGCGAGCCCTGGTGGGGTTTCTGGGGGGAGGAAAGGACTGAACACATACCAGTCACTAACACTCAAACAGCCAGACCCGTTTTTGCAATACAGTTTACTTTCTTAAAAAAGAGAGCTGCAAGTTATATTTTATCCCGACAGTTTGGGGAAGAGGAGCACGCAGAAGGTGGGTATTAGTTGGGAATCTTTCTGAATCATTTTCATGACCTCAACACATCTTTTAGTGCTACAGTAAAAAAAGAAAGGCCATATTTCATGACATGTAAAATGACACGAAACTCAAGTTTCAGTGTCCATAAGAGAGGGCCACGGGTGCTCAGCCGCGCCGTTCTTGATGTCCCGTCTGTGGTGGCTTCCACGCTGTGACAGCAGGGTCGAGTCACGTGGCAGGCGCTGCGTGACCCATAAGGCCGGTAGTATTTACTCTCTGGCCCTTTACGGAAAGTTTTCTGCCCTAACGCAGTTCAGGCTCGCCCGTGGCTTCGCCCGCGCGCAGGCCCTCCTCCCGCCCCCGCTTGGCCCTCATCGCGGTCCCTGCACCCTGGGGACCGGCCGCGGCAGGCTCCCTCCTGCGGGCCGGGGACGCGGGGCCCGTCTTTTCCGAGCAGCCCCGCCTCGCCCCCCGCGGGGCCTCCGCACACGCCGCTCCCTCCCGGGGCGGGCGGTTCACGGCCGGCTAAGTGCCTCCAAAGAAAGCCGCTTTAGAACCGCCTTGGGGGGCGGCGCCGCCGGCCGGTGGCCGCTCCTCGGGCCCCGCCCAGCCCGCCCAGGACCGCGCCGCGCAGGCCCGAGGCGTCCCCGACCCGGCGGGCCTGCGTCTCTGCGCTGCAGGCCCGTTCGGTCCCAAATCTCGACACCCCGCCCCCTGCCCCCCACGGATCCCAGGGATCCTCAAACTTGAAGGCTCGCGTACACCCGCTGGGCTGTTGAAACTACACCTCGGTGGTCTGGAACGGCGTCTGCGTCTTCATTGCTGGTGGACCCCCCGTGATGGTGGGACTTCTGATTCAGGAGCCACTTTGAGTATCACGCTGTACTTTTTCCATAGTAAACAGGCAGCAAACTCCTTCTGTAAAGGGCCGGATAGCAAATATTTTAGACTCTGTCAAGACTACTCGACTCTGCTGTGCAGCTTGAAAGCAGCCGGAGATGATACACAAACCAGCGGGCTGGGCTGTGTTCCGGTCAAACGCTGTTTCTGGGCGCTGAAGTTAGCATTTTCTGTAATTTTAATCTGTCACACAATCGTCTTATTTTGCTTTTTTCTGACCATTTAAAAACGTAAACACTGTTCTTAGTTTGCGGGCTGTACCAAAGCAGGCCTCAGGCTGGATTTGGCCCACGGGCCACAGTTTGCAAACCCCACTCTAGACACCGAGTCCTACAAAGTATCATATGCCCTTCAGACCTGGGTCTCGGGGATGGGTCCTCTGCTTGAACCTCGGTGGCCACCATCAGCAGCTTCCCTTTTCAGGCTTCAGTTTCCTCATCTGTAAAATAAGGAATTCTACTACTCACCTCGTGAGGGTTGTTTAAAATTTAATGAGTAACGCATGGAAAGGGCTGAGCCCTGTGTGGACGCAGTAAATCTCAGCTGTTGGCGTCATTCGGTGTCACCCTAAGACCTAGAAGATGAAGCCATGCGGTTCAGACCCTTCATCTTCTTCTCCAGCTGGAGCACAGACTCCCTTAACCAGAACACACAGCAGGTCTTGGACTTGAGAGCATGCCTCAGGGCGTGGCCCTCACAGCGTATCAGCTCGTCCTAAACTGACTATATGAGTTTGCTGGGGCCGCCGTAACAGCACACAACAGAAATGTACTCTCTGCAGACTGGAGGCCAGAGTCCAAGGTCAGGGTGCTGGCAGGGTGGCTCCTTCTGGGCGCTCTGGGGGAGGACCTGCTCCATGCCGATTCCCAAGCTTCTGGCGGTTGCTGGCAACCTCTGGCATTCCTTGGCTTGTAGAAGCATCACTTCCATCTCCACCTTCATCTTCATGTGGCCTTCTCCCTGTGTGTGTGACTGTATCCAAATTCTCCCTTTTTATAAGGACACCAGTGATACTGGATTAGGACCCACCCTAATGACCTCATTTCAACTTGATTGCCTTTGTAAAGACCCTATTTTCAGAGAAGGTCACATTCTCTGGTATTGGGGGATAAACTTTGACGTATTGTTTTTGGAGGACACAGTTCAACCGCTAACACTAACTCTCCATGCATTCCAGGCCGCCCGACCTGCTTGTTGCCGATGGCACCTGTAGAATCATGTTCGGCTTGGGTCCAGGTGAGTGACATCAAAGGAAACGCATGGGCTCCGGAGCTAGTCCAGGGCCTGTGTCCTCAAAATGTGGTCTGTGGACTCCCCACATTAGCCACCTGGAAAGCTTGTAAAAGCAGATTCAGGGGTCCAGTGCCAGCCCATTGATTCACAGTCCCCATGAGCCCAGTGCCCGCAACTCCTGTGATCCAGTGTGGGGTAGGGGGTGGGGGTGGGGTGCTGATGACAACAATCCTCTCCTGAAGTCTTGGCCACAAGGTCCCCAGTGAGACAAAGGCTGGTGGGTGAAGCAAAGAGCAAGTGAGCTAATCTTAGCAGATGCTTCCAAACTCCTTCCCCAAGTCACTTAGGAAGCACAGTGACGTAGCTGGCTAATACGCATTGTCTTTATCAATATTAAAATAAGAGTAGCCAACCTTTTATTTGACTAGTATTATCCACATAGCAATCCTATAAACCTAATCCCCAGAGGGGCTAATTTAAGGCCACTTCCGAGCCTTCCCTGGTACTCTGATCTTCACTGGAAAGATAAATTGTGGAGAAAATGTGCACCTCCCGCTTTGGGTTCCTGTAGCACTTCATTCATCTGTTTGTGACACATTTACCACATTGCACTGTAGTGATTTATTTATACGCCTCTATCCCCCACTAGACTCTGAAAGCCTCGAGGGCAGGGATGGCATGCATCTCTGTGGCCTGGCACCCAGCAGTGGTCCTGCGACACTGTAGGTGCTCCACACTATTTGCCCTAGGACCGAGGAGGGGCTGCTTTGCCGACAAGCTTCCTCAAGGCCACTTTCATGTCCTTGTTCCTTAGGCTGTAGATAAAGGGGTTCAGCGTGGGGATGACCACCCCACACATCAGGGTGGCTGCCTTGTTCTTCTGGGAGGAGGCGGCAGATGTGGGCTGCAAGTACACAGCGAAGATGGTGCCATAGAACAGTGACACCACAGTGAGGTGCGAGCCACAAATGGAGAATGCTTTCCACTTGCCCTGAGCAGAAGGGATCTTGAAGACCGCTCGGAAAATGCAGGTGTAAGAGAAGAGGATGCACGAGAGCGGGCTGATGCCCATGATGATGCCAAAAGCAAAGATCACCAGCTCATTGGTGTGTGTGTCTGAGCAGGAGAGCTTCAGCAGGGGCATGAGGTCACAGAAGAAGTGAGGGATTTCAGAGCCGCCACAGAAGGTGAGTTGAGCCATGAGGCAGGTGTGCACAAGCGACTGGAAGTTGGTGATCAGCCACAGCCCTCCCACAAGCAGCACACAGACACGAGGGCTCATGATGACCGAGTAGCGCAGAGGGTGGACTATGGCTATGAATCGGTCAATGGCCATCACGGCCAGGAGAAAGCTGTCCATGGTCCCAAACAGGTGGAAGGCATACATCTGAGTGAGGCAGCCTGCAAAGGGGATGGCTCGACTCTGGGTCCAGAGGTTCACCAGCATCTTGGGGACGGTGGTAGAAGAGAAGAAGATGTCGACTAGGGACAAGTTGGAGAGGAAGAAGTACATGGGTGTGTGGAGATGGGAGTCTGTGATGATGGCCAGGATGATGAGCAGGTTTCCAAAGACGGTGACCAGGTACATGGACAGGAACAGCCCAAAGAGGAGAGTCTGATGCTCTGGCTTTTCTGTGAGTCCCAGGAGGAAGAATTCTGAGCCTACTGTTTGGTTTTCTGGTTCCATGGACAGCCTGTGTCTACTGCAAAAGAAAGAAGGGGAGAGGGAAGCAACATCGAGCTGGGAGTTGGAGACGGAGTTCTGGTCCCAGCTCCCCACTGAGGTCGGTAGGGGTCTGTGTAAATCCACGGGATCCTTACAGCAAATCTCTTTGTGTCACACTCTCTTCAGTAGATTTCTCTTTCTCTAAATGAAACCATCCTTGCCTGAGATACTCTGTGTGTCAAAGGCCTAACTTGGTTGTTTAGACGTAAGTTGAATATTATTAATAAACATCGTTATTTCTCTTTGGTGGCGATGCAAAGCTTCATAGAAACAAAATTGAGCGGAATCAAACCTAAGCCGAAACCTGGCATGATAAAACGAAACCTGACCATCCTCCTTTCTCCCTTTCCCATTATCTTTCTCTCTCGTCTCTCCTCCCTCCCTTTCATCCCTGCATCAACAAGATATAATTTTAGCGTCAATTTTGTGTTAAAGACTAGGGATGTGAAGACGAATAGCACTCCTTCTCTGCTTCCAGTGAACCCCAAATTTACTTGGGGGCACTTTATGACCTGCTACCACATGACCACTACAGTAGACACTCTCTTTTGTCATGATGAGGACCAGTGTTGGAAAAGCTTGCAAAGGGTGGGAACGTAAATGTGCACAAACTTGCCTTCCACGTCTTAACTTAAGTATGTAAATTTATTCAGTGGGCTTTGATGGGGAGCAAGGTCTCTTCTCTGAGCATGTGATGCATTGGTGGCGGATCTGTATCAACGTTCTTGCCTCAGCCTATCTTGGCTTCTATCTATGCTCCAGTTTGTTTCATTACGGTGGAACAAGAAACTAGGGATCCTTGCAAAACAATCTGTTGCAGAATCCTTTCAGAGTTTTACAAATTTACACCCAAATTGTGTTTGGTTATCTTGCTCACATCTAATTTGATGGCAATTTCTTTTTTAGTGATTCCTTTTTATTAAGCCTTTCCAAAACATTCAGTTTGGATTTCACAAAACCACATTTCCTCTTCCCTCTCTCTCCCCTTCTTCCTTCCTGCTTTCATTCTGTCCATCCTTCCTTCCTTCCCTCCTTCTTTCTCCTGTGGTTCTTTCATTTACCTAGCATTCAGTTGAGTGATACAATTGCAGCAGCAACTCTGTCAGGCTTGGGATGACTTCAAACAACTCAACTCAACTGATGAGAGCAGAAATGCTTCGGCGAGCAGGTGAGTAGCCGTCTGGCGATGAGCACTCAGCATGCCAGGACAGCAATCAGTATATCTTCAGGGGAGATAGAAGCCATGGATGAACCCAGAAAGCTGCTTAAGTGGAATTTTTAAAGAGAGTGTTCACAGTAATAAAAGGAAAACACGTGGAGCTTTAAAGCTAATGGTATTTTGGAGGTATTTTTTGCCATCAGCAGTAGCTTTGTGGGACAAAAAAATTTGTGTTTTCTTATGTTCTAGACAGACTGTCACTGCCAATTGAAACAGTTTTGCACCCTCAGTAAAACATACCTTGTTATATCACTTGAAACAGCTGTTAAAAAAGTTTATTCAAAATAAAACTTCCAGACGCATCCTGGACTGTTCAAAGATAAGCTGTTTTCATAAAAGCGACAAAAGTGTGCTCGAATGCCTCCTTGATGGAAAGATAGGTGTGCACTGTGCTTATTCCTGTGGTCACTATGATCCAAGAAAAGCGAGTTTATGAAATAACATTCTTATGTGAACAAATATTAAAATTGCAACTAAAGTGGTGAATACGTGAGAGCAAGATTTAAAGAAATGCAAACTCTTAGGCACGTTCCAATAATATTCTCATTCATCCATTTTAAATTGCTAATGAGTATGACCCTGGTTTTGTTTCCCCATCTATTTAGCAAGGAAGTTGGAGTTCATCTGAGGGCGTTTTAATGTGTAGAGTTACAGGCAAGTTTTGAACTCCTCTCTGCTTTGGCATCAGCAGTTTGGGACCTAGGAGCAGCTTCGTGTCAAAAGCAGACCTTTATCCCATCCATACAAGACCACCGAAGCCTGGCTGCATTTGCCTTTCTAAGTCTCCATTTCCCAGTGGGCGTATTTATCCTTTATTTCACTTAATGAACATTAATGAAGAATGTGTTGGGTGTCGGGCACTATCTGTTCCTCTTATAAGACATGGATGAAATAGAAAAAAACCCCAGCATGGCATGACTCACCAAGTCCTTGTAAAACCTCAATATTGTCTCTTTCCAGCAAAGAGAGAATTTTCCTTTGCTTAACTCATTTCTTCCCTGGTTAGGTCCCTGTGTCTTATAATCAATAGCCAGTAACAACACATCAGGGGAGTTTAGTGACAATATCTGTAAAGTATTGAGCCTTCTTAGGAATCACAAGTTCTTTACGTGTAGGTCTCACAACCCTGAGAAGGAGTTGGTGTTGGCCACAACTTATGATGAGAAGATGGGAGGTGCTGAGAGAGATGCTAGCTTGCAAGTGCTTGATCTCTCGTTTGAACTGAGATTTATTTTCACCCTCTCATGCCCCATTGCCTCTCCGAATGTGGCCACTCACACTTCATTATGGGTGGAGGTGTTTCAAGGCTAAACTCTGTGCTGTCAACACATGCTGGGGAAAACTATTCAATTGTAGGTGTTTTAAATTTTTGTCTTCCTGTCTCCCAAGGAACATTAGTCTCCAGAAAGAGTTAAGGTTTTCGGAGTGGGATCAAGATGTAAATGGGAAAACATAGCACATAGATGGGTCTGTGTAAGAAAGGCTATGGGTGACTCCAAGGTGTTGCAAGAACAAGGGAGAGATGCAAATACCTGCCAAGAGGAGTAGGACCCTTGGAGGTGGAAGAGGTGTCAAAAGGGAGCTTTTAGGAAGGTTAGAAGCATAATCTCCTCTGGTAACCTCAAGAGATCTCCAGCAAAGCCTTATATTACTTTTCAAGGTTTTTTAGAGTTGAGTTTGAGGTTTTTGCAAGGTGACGCTCAGCTTTCTCTTGGCTGCATATGCTACTGTGGGACCCCTCCCAGCAACGTCTTTGCAATAGTCCTCGGTTGTTGACATGAAGTCCTTGGTTGCACCAGAGCAGTGGTTCTCAACCCTTGAGTGTGCATCAGCATACCATAGGGAGAGGGCTGGATAAAATACAGGTAGCTGGGCCCACTCCTTGGAGTGTCCGGGGTGGAGCTCAAGAATTAGCACTTCTAGGAGATTCCCTGGGGATGCGGCTGCTGCTGGCCTGAGACCACACCTGGGGAACCACTGCATTGGAGAAAGCTGTTTTTTAGCATCTCACCCATTTGTGCAGGTGTCCCCCAACCACAGACCATAGATGCTTTTCCTCCACATGATCAGCCACGGAGGGTCTGCCCTCTGTACCTTTTGTCCATTCAGAGGGTATAGAGTTAGTCTCAGTCACTTCTCTCTCTTCTTTCTCTCTCTCTCCAGGAAGGAAGGAAAGAGATTTCTCTTCTCTGATCCCATCCAGCTCACTCTTCTTCTCCACCCCTCATTGACTTACCAGGATGGTTTCACCAAGAGGGTGGTCTTGGCAAACCTTCTTCTCCACTGATTGCCGTGGGATCCTGAGATCAGCACTAAGCCCCCAGGAAGGGTGTGGGGAGTCCAGTCAGCTATGATGGCTGGGACAAGTCTGGTATCTATGGGGGGAAATCATGTGTTTCCCCTGCCCAGCCTGGGGCAGATGAGCGGGGGGCCAGGGACACAATAGGATATTTACAGTTTGGGGGCTCTTGGGGACTCCATTCCCATGGCTCCTTGTTAAGGGGTAGATGCTAATTATTTTGTTTCTACTCTTGCCACTTGTGGCCTATTCTCTCGGGTCTGTGCACTTTGGGATGATGGAGTGTGTGAGGAGATGAAGAAGTCACTAGGCATTCACTCTCACAAGGACACCCCCCACATGGCAGTTCCCAGGCAGGGTGGTCTGGAGGTCCAAGTCCTTCACAGGGCACTCAGATGCCTGAATCAAAGATGTCCTTTCACTTATTCCATCATGATGGAAACTCCATGAGGGGAGGGAATTTATACTGTTGGGTTCACCAAGGAAAGTTCCTGGGAAGAAATAGTCAATAAATGTACATCAAATGGATGAATTTGTCAAACACTTACCGGTCACCTGCCATAGGTCAGGAGCTGTGCTTGGCACTGGGGTTTCAAAACACATGCTTGCTGAAGATGCCTCCCAACAGCCAGAGGAAGGGCTCAGTCTTCATTAACCTGTTTTAGTCCCTACCAAGCCCTCTCTGGATGAGGATTAGGGAATCTCTCTTCTACTCTTGCTCATCAACAATTTTGGTGGGCTTTGTTCTTTTCTGTTGGGGCGCCCACACCATGACCCCCATTTATGTTTCCCCAGGGAGCCGCTCTATCTCCCAGGACCCTTCTAATTTTACCTTCTCCCCCACTGGCTTTTTTATGATTTTAAAAAATTTATCTTTTTAAATGTGAAATATTAATTCGGTTAAGAAAGTAGTCATGCAATGAAATAATGAAGTGCCGTCCCCAAATCCAGGTCCCCATCCCTCCAATTCTTAACAAGCACCCTCAGTGGATAAGCTGTTAATGGTTTCTTGTATAACCTTCCAGAGTCTCTTTACACATACACACACACATATATTCTCCTTCCATTTTGTACATAAAAATAACATACTATAATTCTGTTCTGCACCTCGTATTTATCACTCCATTTATTTTTGTGATCTTTTCATATTCTTATTTTTTTTACAGCCCCTTATTTTCCATTGCACAGATGGTGCTGTAATCTGTATAACTAATTTTCTATTGATGGTGCCATAATTTATGTAACCAGTTTTCTATTGATGGATGTTTCCAGTCTTTGCTAAAATGAATACTTGATATACATCATCATTTCATAGTTTACCTTTGTCACTTCCAAAATGTTATATTAATGGAATCACACAGCATGTAGCCTTTAGACAAAGCCTGGCTTTTTACCCTCAGCATAACATTCTTAAGATCCATCCGAGTTGTGTGTATCTAGTTCATTCCTTTTTATGGCTGAGCAGTGTCCATGGTATGGATGAACCATAGTGTGTTTATCCAGTCATTCATTGAAGGTTGTTTCCAGTTCTGGCTACTACACATAAAGTTGCTGTGAACATTCCTGTGCAGGTTTTACTGTGGACATACATTTTCATATCTTTAGGAGTATGAGTGCTGGGTTGTATGTTAAGTGTATGTTTAACTATAAAAACTATATATATATATATATGAATATATGTAAATCTTATATATTTATAGGAAACTGTATATATAAAACTATAGATATTTAATCTATCTATTTATCTGTCTCTCTATCTATCCAGCACCTAAAGTCGCTTTATCATTCCTCCACTTTCTTACTCCATCTTTTCTCCCCAAAGATAACTACTTTCCTGATTTCTAACACCATAGATTAGTTGTGCCTTTTCTTGAGCTTTATTTAAACTCAGTCATATAGTATGTACACTTTTTTTCCTGTTCTATTTTACTTAACATTATATTTGTGAGATTCATCCCAGTTGTATATGGAAGTAGTCCATCTCTTCTCACTGCTGTAGTATGAGTTGATTAAGATATTTTGAGTTGTGTTCCTTTTACTTGGAAAGAAGGATCCCTAAAACTGATATCCAGTATTTGAATGAGCATCACAAATAAAATACTCCAAAAGCCTGAGGACCTACATCATAGGTACTCCGTAAGCGTTATGTGAGAGGTTGGCTCAGAGTCACTCAGCTGAAGATGGTGGAGTCTGAACTTGAGCCCAGTCCGTTGGAACTGTTTCCGTGGCACTGTGCACCATCTTCTGTACACGTCTGCTGGTCTTCGGGAACGTTGGGAGGCAGGAGTGTGACGGTTAAACTCAGACAAGCCTTAGCACTCCACTTGGCAGCTGTGAGATCCTTGGGAAGTGATTGAAATACCACTGAGGCTTCCTTTCCTTACTGATATAAGAGGATGGTACTACCTATCACTCACCTTGCAGGCAGGTTGTGAGGCTTAAATGGCACAATATATGTAAAGTGCATAGGGAAGCTATTGTATACAGTCAACACTTAATAAAAGTTCCTGTGATTATTTCACTGTAGCTCCTTTGAATGAGGATTTCTGGAGCTCAGCAGGTTTGCATGTATTTCCAGCAGCCAAGATATTCCCCTAGAGCTAAACTGACAGTATTGAACTCTCAAAGTCATATCCTTTAGTCAGATCTAGGCAAGAAGGAGTAAAGTCTAAGTAGGGGGGAAAGGGAAGAGAAAGGCTATTCTGACCAGGCTGACTGACTGTGGCCAGTTATATAGTCAGTGAGGAATTGATTCATTTGAGGCAAAAGTAGAAAGTTTCAGACTGTGCCTCTCCTTAATTTTGGTTGTTGCTGTTGATCAACATGTGCCCATGGGAAGAAGTGTCATGGTTGTAAGGAGAAGTGCTGAACAATGCTGTTCTCTGGCTCTCCTGCAGGCAACAGGCCCAACTTGCTGGGCAAAGCTGACCAATCACCATGTGCCTCTGACTTTGTTCTTTTGTACCTCTGGGCTTCTAGGAGCTGATGCCTGTGGGGGCCAGGGAGGCGAATATGCTGGACCATTTCAGCACCATGGACACAGATCGTTAAGGCTTTGTTGCTGTAATTGGGCATCTCTAGGATTTTCCACTGACAGCAGTGGGCTGGATGGGGAGAGCTCTGGCTTTGCAAGCAGATTGCAGAATATCATCCCCATTTCTTACTTGTTTTGGGAATGTAAACAAGTGATGTCACCTCTTGGGTCTCAGTTTCTGTATCTGTCAAAAGGAGTTGACATTCATCACTGCCTGTCTCTCATGACGGTTTCTGTGCACCCTCCTACCTCCTGAGTCTCAATCCTCTGCCTTGAATGGGTATCCAGTACACCCTAAGTGCATCCTTCTCAGGGCAGCCCAGCCCTGCAGTGAACCTGCTTCCAGAATCTTCCATCTTCCTTGGTCAGTGCACCAACCTTTGTCTGGAGTTGATGGACAACTCCTGGGGCATGAAAGACCTGGGACAAGAAAGTGCAGGCTGGGCTTGTGGAGAGTTTTGGGAAATCCTGAAAAGGGAGAAGAAATATTTAGGAGCAGCTGTGGGGAGTAAAGATATATCTTCCTCTCTCTCTCTTTCAGCAGATTTCAACCCAAAGTGTACATAATTGGATTGGGTTGATCAATTTTACTCTTCATTTCATGGTTCACCTTCTCTATCAGTCCCGGAGTGACCTCTATTTTTCAGTCTCTATTTAATTTCCCTTCACTCCTAGTCATACGTGCTCATATTGTGTGTTCATTCAATTGACCATCCAAATCTCTACATACATTTTTGTATATCCATGAAAAATATAGTTTTGTTTAATTTTGTTTTTTGAAAAATACATAAATGATATTGTACACATATTTCCTTTTGTCTCCTGCTTTTTTATCTCAAAGTTAGATTTTCAAGATCTATCAACATCTACATATGTAGAATTCATTCATTCATTTTAACATGTGTATATTGTTGCATTGTATATAGGTATCACATTTATTTTTCATGCCACTCTGGATGGGCATTTTGGTTGTTTCCATCTCTTTGTTATAATGAACATCCTCGAACACACCACTTCATGTTTCAGAGTTTCTCTGGAGGTTTGTACTTGGTGTAGGAATTGCTGAATCTTTAGGCATGCAGAAAATGAATAGGAAATGGATTTTAGGACGTTTTCCTATGCAGGATCCCTTTTGAAATTCTTTTAGGGGCTTTAGTAAGCATTAGAATGGCATTTCCTGGTAATGTTGGCCATTGGACTATATATCTTGGAGTGCAGCTCTGGGCAGGTTGGCTTCAAATCAAGAACAAGGCAGCCTGGCTTTACATTGGATACACAGAGACACAAATTGATGCTGGGACCTCGTTGCTGTTCTTTTTTTAAAGAGATGTCGTAGTAGTTTACAACATTGTGAAATTTCAGTTGTACACTGTTATTTATCAGTCACCATACGTATGTGCCCCTTTACCCCTTATGCCCACCTCGCAACCCCCACCCCTCTGGTAACCACTAATCTGTTCTCTTTGTCTGTGTATTTGTTAATCTTCCAAATATGAGTGAAATTATATGGTGTTTGTCTTTCTCCATCTGGCTTATCTAGCTTAACAGAATACCCTCAAGGGTCTATCCATGTTGTTGCAAATGGGATGGTTTTGTCTTTTTCATGGCTGAGTAGTATTCCATGGTGTGTGTGTGTGAGTGTGTGTGTGTGTGTGTGTGTGTGTGTATACCACATTGTCTTTATCCATTCATCAGTCAGTGGGCACTTGGGTTGCTTCCATGACTTGGCTATTATGAATAATGCTGCCATGAACATAGGGATGTATAAATCTTTTTCAATTGTTGATTTCATATTCTTTGGATAAATACCCAGTAGTGGAATAGCTGGGTCATATGGTATTTCGATTTTTAATTTTTTTTTTTTAAAGATTTTATTTTTTCCTTTTTCTCCCCAAAGCCCCCCGGTACATAGTTGTGTATTCTTCGTTGTGGGTTCTTCTAGTTGTGGCATGTGGGACGCTGCCTCAGCGTGGTCTGATGAGCAGTGCCATGTCCGCGCCCAGGATTCGAACTAACAAAACACTGGACCGCCTGCAGCGGAGCGCGCGAACTTAACCACTCGGCCACGGGGCCAGCCCCTCGATTTTTAATTTTTTGAGAAATCTCTACATTGTTTTCCATAGTGGCTGTTACCAGTTTGCATTCCTACCAGCAGTGTGTGAGGGTTCCCTTTTCTCCACACCCTCTGCAACATTTAGGAGTTGGTTTTTGTCTTGGTAATTATAGCCATTCTATCAGGTGTAAGGTGATATCTCATTGTAGTTTTGATTTGCATTTCCCTGATCATTACTGCTGTTGAACATCTTTTCATGTGCCTGTTGGCCATCCTTGTATCTTCTTTGGAAAAACGTCTGTTCATATCCTCTGCCCATTTTTTGATCAGGTTGTTTGTTTTTTTGTTGTTGAGTTGTATGAGTTCTTCATATATTTTTTTTTTTTTTTTTTTTTTTTTAAAGATTTTATTTTTTCCTTTTTCTCCCCAAAGCCCCCCGGTACATAGTTGTGTATTCTTCGTTGTGGGTTCCTCTAGCTGTGGCATGTGGGACGCCGCCTCAGCGTGGTCTGACGAGCAGTGCCATGTCCGCGCCCAGGATTCGAACCGACGAAACACTGGGCCGCCTGCAGCGGAGCGCGCGAACTTAACCACTCGGCCACGGGGCCAGCCCCAGTTCTTCATATATTTTTGAGATCAACCCCTTATCAGATATATGATTTGCAAATATTTTCTCCCAGTTAGTGGGTTATCTTTTTGTTTTGTTCATGGTTTCCTTTGCCTTGCAGAAGCTCTTTAGCCTGAAGAAGCCCCATTTGTTAATTTTTTGTTTTGTTTCCTCTGCCTGAGTAGATATGGTATTCGAAAATATCCTTCTAAGACCAATGTCAAAGAGTGTACTGCCTATATTTTCTTCTAGGAGTTTTATGATTTCACCTCTTACCTTCAAGTCTTTAATACATTTTGAGTTAATTTTTCTGTATGGTGAAAGATAATAGTCTACTTTCATTCTTTTGCATGTAGCTGTCCAGTTTTCCCAACACCATTTATTGAAGAGAATTTCCTTTCTCCATTGTATGTTCTTGGCTCCTTTGTCAAAGATTAGCTGTCTGTAGATGTGTGGTTTTATTTCTGGGCTTTCAATTCTGTTCCATTGAGCTGTGTGTCTGTTTTTGTACCAGTACCATGCTGTTTTGATTGCTATAGCTTTGTAGTATATTTTGAAGTCAGAGATTGTGATGCCTCCAACTTTGTTCTTTTTTCTCAGGATTTCTTTAACTATTTGGGGTCTTTTGTTGCTGAATGTGAATTTTAGGATTCTTTGTTCTATTTCCATAAAGAATGTCATTGGGATTCTGATCAGGATTGCCTTGAATCTGTGGATTGCTTTAGGTAGTATGGACATTTCAACTATCTTTATTCTTCCAACCCACAAACATGGAATATCTTTCCATCTGTTTATGTCTTCTTCAATTTCTTTCAATAATATCTTATAGTTTTCATTGTATAGGTCTTTCACCTCCTTGGTTAAATTTATTCCTACATATTTTGTTCTTTTTGTTGCAGTTGTAAATGGGATTGTACTCT